GTCTAGAATTATAGGTCAAGGGTGTGGGAGCGACTCAAAGGCGCGGGACGAGAATGTTTGGAATCTGACGAGATATTTACATAATTATTATACAATAATTTCCAACCGATGTTTGTAGGACTTGTATATGAACTCGTGTATATTGCAAGCGAGTAAAATGTAAAGAATGTTGGGTTGTATTTATTCTTGTGTTGAATCTTGCATTAGCCTTTTTATGGGGTATATGGGGGAGTATTTATAGTATTACAAACTAGATCGTGGCCCTCGGTTGGGAGTACACATGGCCTCATCTTGTTAGTTTACATGTCTAATGTAGGTATCAAGTTTGACCACCTAACATGCTATACATTTATTAATTGGCAGAGCTGTCACTACTTTAATAAGACAAGACACTTGCACTCCATGATATGTGTCCCATCAATCATTCAAAGAGAATCGTTGTGTAAGACTGGATCTTTGGAGAGAAGCGATGCCAGTTGTAATGGGCCTCGGTATGAAGATCCTCGGCCATGTATACCATCTCGGTTATTGCACTTCAACACACAGAATCAGGGTTACGTCATAGGAGCTGTTTGCTGGTATTAGTCAATCTTGACTTAGGGCCTCGACGGAGATGCTACATTGTTCGGCATGGGTGGGCCATGGGCCCAATGGGTCGGCCAAGTGTATCGACACGTAACAACTTTTATCTTAAATAATTTGAGTGCATATCATAATCATACATTATATGCACGAGGTTTGTTTAATGAGTGTCAGTTCATCCCACGTTATCCTCTCTAATTTCAGATGAAGGTAGGATGATTCGAGAGGACTATTTGTGGTGAAACTGACTTGGTATCGATACATTTAATGTTGACTCAAGTTGAAATAAGTTTAACATTTAATTCGATCATCTTGTATTTTTATCAAACATAAAAGTTTTCTAAATTCTTTCCTTAAATGAAAGTCGTTAATATTTTTATGTTAAAGAAAAATTTATAGTCAATTTTCCGCATTTATAACTCTAAGAAGAAATTAAATGTTAATACTTCTGAATCTAGGTATGTAGATTTGGGCGATTACACATATACTTTTGATGAGTATTTGGACATAATAAATTATAAAATCTCAAATGAGGTTCAAGTACCTAAAATAATGAAATTTGAGGTATCTCAATAAATTATGTTTTTATGGGAAAAGAAATAAAATCGAAAAGAAAAAATTGTCGACAAAAATTTTGCATATGATACACTACATTATATAGCAAGAAATCAAAATAAATGCATCGAAATATATCAATCGAAGTAATGATTGACCAAATAAAATGGACGTATGTGGTATAATCGCTTTAGCAAATATTTGTTGCAGGAAGGTTTTAAAAATGAAGATATCTACCTATATGTTTTCATAAAAGAAAAAAAAAATAAATTTGCAATTGTGACAGTTTATGTTGATAATTTAAATTTAATTAGAACTTCTGAAGAGCTCAATAAAACATCTGATTTTATGAAGGAAAAAAATTTGAGATGAAAGGTTTGGGAAAAATTAAATTTTGTCTCGGGTTGCAGATTGAACATTTTTCAAAAGGATTATTTGTTCATCAATCTACATATACAGAAACTGTTTTAAAGCGCTTTTATATGGATAATGGACATCCATTTGCATCACATACGATCGTTCGATTACTTGAAGTGAAAAAGGATCCATTTTATCCACTTGAAGATGGAGAAAATGTTATTAGTCCTGAAATACCACATTTTAGTACAATTGGAACATTAATTTATCTTGCAAATTACACTCGACCCGATATAGCCTTTTCTGTAAATCTCCTTACAAGATATAACTCTACATCAACTCAAAGACACTAGAATAGTGTTAAACACATTTTTCGTTATCTAAAGGGCACTATTGACTTGGGATTATTATATTTTCAAAAAGTCGGGATTCACTTTAGTGAGATATGTAGATGTAGGTTATCCTCCCGACTCACATAAAGCTAGACCACAAATAGGATATGTGTTTAAATGTGGAGGAATAACTATATCATATAGATTTGTGAAGTAATCCTTGACAGCAACATCTTTAAATATTATGATATTATTGCAATCTATAAAACAGAGCGATAATGTGGATGGTGAGGAACATGACCTATCATATCTAAGTACCATGCGGATTAACTTCAACAATTGATAATCCAACAATTTTGTATGAAAATAATACATCTTGTATTGCACAACTTAAAGGAGAATATATCAAAGGTGACATGACGAAGCATATTTCACAAATATTTTTTCAAAAACATGAGTTTTAAAAGAATGGTGATATCGATATCCAAAAAACTTACTCAAGTGACAATGTGTCCAATTTATTCACAAAAATGCCAACATCTAATTCAAGAAATTGGTTCATGATATTGGAATGCATCAACTCAAAATTTTTTTAGTGATCAACATCCGGGGGAGTAGCTGTACTCTTTTTCTTTCGCTTAGGTTTTATCCCACTAGATTTTTCTAATAAGATTTTAATGAGATAACATTTATTTTTAATACTAAAAAATAACTGTACTTTTTTTCATTTGTTTGATTTTTTTGTCCCATTGGATTTTTATCGAACAAGATTTTAGAATGCAGATATTTTGTAATATATCATTCAAGGTGGAGTGTTGTAAATGATAAGTTTATTATTGAATGACAATTGTATCTCTGCAGCCGTAGATATTATTACCTTTGTATCCCTTCTTCCGTATAAATATTAGGCTTTGATTCTCTAGTCCATCATACGATTTTGTTATCTAATTATGTTTTTCTTGACTAGTTGAAGAAGATCCAACCATTTTATTCGCCATTGTGTTGAATGCTATCACTAATAACGTGTTTGGTATACAATTTGAATAAAATATACATAGATATTTTTTTTCCTTTTTAATAATATATAATATTATTAATCCACCTTACTAAACATTTATGAATGAACAGTTAATAATAATTAACTCCATGCAATCGATAAATGAAAATTGCATTCTTATAGATCTCAAATTTGCTTTTATCTTCCTTCTATAGTATAGAGTAAATATTCCTATTTTTACTTCTGGTTTTAAAATTTCAACAAAATACAAAGGAAAAATCATAACGTCAAAATTAATAAACTCTTATTTGGTTCAATTAAAAAGTTGAATAAAATCTAAGTCAAAGTCGGTAATTAATTTTAATATACATATTCCATAGAACTCACAACTTTTAAACTACACGTTCCATTAACTTTTACCAAAAATCTATAAAAATAATTTTTTTTTTTATCTAAACCAAACATGGGCTAAATAAATAAGCCCTTGTTTGACTCCCTCTAACACAAAATAATTTATTTTTCATACTTATTTTCAACTACACATTTACATGATAAAATATTTTGCATATAAATATAAAATTTTTCATAAATTTTTAATCACACATTCTCCAAAAAAATCGCTATTCAAAATATCATTTTTGCATAATAATCACCATCAAACATTGGTTAAATTATTTTTAAACATTTGCATGGCGTATCTATTTGGTTTAATAATTCCTTGTATTTAGCATGTTAATATTTCAAACTTGTGAAATTGAAAAGATAGTTCCTAGCACAATTCTAAGCTTTGTTAAAGTTGTTTAAAGTAATTGCATTTTGTGTTATATATAACACTAGTATTGGCATAGTCTTACATCGTACTTATATATTGCTCAGTCTATTTGTCATTTACTTGTAAATAATTGTGACGCCCCAAAATTTTCTACAATTATTTTATTAACCATGTAATTATTATAGTAGAGTAGAATAAAATTCTAGCACTAAGGCAAGATTTTCTCCTACCAAATACACGTGAATGACCTTCCAAATAAGATGGACATCAACACGGCTAATTTCCCTAAAATTTATAATAAACACGTAATCCAATCCCAAATTACTAAAAGAATTATGGTTAATCATAAATAAATTAAAAGGAATAATTACAAAAAGTACTACTTGACATTTGATCAATTCTCTTCATATATAAAAAAAGAATCATTTTATTCACTAAAGTCAACATAAAAATTTAATTTAGATGCCAATTGAAACGATAATATTAGTACTAACGCAATTAAAAAAATTGACTTGCATGCATTACATTTCATTGTAACAATTGCTAAAGACAAATGAGGTACATGTTGTCGTTGGACCACCTGTCCCATTAGCCATAATTAACCACAAACTCAAATGAAATTGTGTGTAGTTTAATATGTATGTATGTAGAACAATTAAGTTTATTCTATAAAATTTTCGGGGCGCTACAATCTCCCCTCATTAAATTAATTTTGTCCTCAAATTTTTTTCCTACGTAGGTGAAAAGTCCTTGATCTCCTCTTCTTTGGACTTCTAAGAAAAATTTACCTTCTTCTCGAAGCATCGTATCGTCGCATAAGGTTTTCCAACCAATCTATTCCTAAGATGGTATAAAGGGAAATACTTCATATCTAAAAGTCATATGTTAACTATAAATTTTGTCCATTCGTCTTGATTGTCCTAGCCATTGATTGGTATTAAATGAATTGTCTAATGGGGTAGTAACTTCTAGAACAAGACTTAGTACTAGTAAATAAGGAATGAGCAGCCAGGCGTACATAAGAACATAAGCATGTAGTGCTAATATTGATAGGGTGCCTGCTATGATGTCTTAATTGTTAATTTCCTCTTATTGGGTTAAGGCAAACACTCTGGCTGCTCCCTTTTTGCTTTGTTCGTTGTCCTGTGGTGGGGTTCATGACATTTCGTAGCAATATGACCATGCTTTCCACATCGGTAGCACATATTCTTTCCATACCAACACTCGCGTCCATGGGTCTTATTACACTTAGGGCATAGAGTAAGAACATTATTCGGCTTGCTTAACCTTGACCACCTTTCAGAGCTAGTCTTCTTGTTTTGTCCATTTCCTTTACCCTCATTCGGTCCATTCCATTTCTTCTTTCTTGAAATCTCAGTAGTTTCTCGCATTGTCTGATCAATTTCTAATCGATTTGAAATTGCATGACTCGTTGTAGAACCTGACTATACGTGATGAATTCATGAGATGCCATGATTCCTCCAATTTCTGAGCGACGTCCGAGTTCGAACCTTCTGGCTTTCTTTTGCTCTGTATCTACTAGATGTGTCGCGTACCTAGAAAGTTGTTCAAACTTCTTCTCATAGTCAATCAATGCCATCTTTCCTTGCTTAAGTTGTAGAAATTTCGTCTCCTTACGATCTCTTAGGGCTTGTGGGAAGTATTTTTCCATCACATCTTCCTTGAAACATGCCCAAGTAAGGTTGCTTTGTTGTGTCTCAATCCTAGTGCGTGAAGCGGACTCCCACCAGTGGCCTGTTGCATCCACTAGCATGAACTCCGCACATAAAAGCTTTTGGGCATCAGTGTAGCTGAGGTGCTTGAAGGTTCGTTCCAAACTCCTTATCCATTCCTCGGTTGCCAAAGGACCAGCCATCCCGTTAAAGGTAGGGGGCTTATAACGACGAAACTGCTCCACAACAAAACTCGTTGTATTGGAGTTAGTTTGTACATTCTGAGGGGGCACTTGTGTTAGCTGCCTACCAAGATCTTGCACAGCTCTCAACAAATCCTTAAACATAGCGGCTTGTGTTGGTTGACGTGCCATTTCCTTTAAATCAACCAAATAAATTTCATTTTAGAAATAGTCAACAACATCTCAACATATTCGAATGAAAAACTCAGTTTCATAAGATTTTAAATCCTAGAATACATGGGGGACGATTGAGAGAACTAAATCATAGATGATGAAAAAGAAAACCCATGGATTATTCCAAATACTGATTACATTCCCCCCCTTTTTTGGACGAGATCATTTATTTAAACTAAAATATCTCTAGATCACTAGTCTTCATCTTTGCCTGTCCAACCATTTTAAATGATGCGAAGCCTAGGTAGAGGGGCTTCATCATCCAAGGTTATACATGACTTAGGCTCAAATTCTTGGTCAACCTCTAGTTCAGGGTCTAGTTCGAACTCTGGCTCATGCTCTAGTTCTGGCCCTGGTCCTATTACGTATTCCAGTTCATTTTTTTGGCTCCGACTTAGATTCATAATTTGGCTCCTCTTCTGGGTCTTCCTCTGGCTCGGGTTCAGCTTGAGTGTAGAGATCCACCTATCTAGGAAGGTTTCACAATACAGTTGGAACTCAATTCTTTCTTGGTGCTCTGGAGGGTGACCCTCTAATATTTCGTCCCTAACCACAATGCCTATATCTCCTCACTAAGGTGGCAGTGTATGGATAAGATTGTTAACAGCTTGGAGAGATGTAATCTCCTGTCCTATACCTCTTGTTGTAGCCCACCTAGCATAGACCTCCTCCACATATTCAATAAGGGTGTGAGTCGGGTCTGCTTTAAAATTTACGTAGGCTTGGATGACTGTCGCCCTATGGTTTAGAACAGCCCTACAAGTATTGTCTTCCTAGCCGTCTCTATAGTTCTAGCCATGTCTGTCACATACATGCCAAACCCAATTATGCTTAATGTTTTATTAGTGATAACATATTAGCTTTCATGCTTGCATAACTCATTATGTAGATAACATTAAATATCATACTTCTATCCGTAGTTCATTAAAAGTATATGAGAAAAATAATTCATAAAATGGAAGAAACAAATATGTTTAACATCATGTTTGCATTTTATACTATAATAATTCATCTCATTTCGAACATTTCTCGTATCAAGTATAAGAATGTATACCTCATGCTCAGAATTAAATTTAAATAAAACATATTAAGTAATACCTTCAGTCCGCCAGATGGTAGTTGATTGGTGGATGCCAGGTGCCAAGAACCTCGTTAAAATTCTTGTTTAAAAGAATGTTTATCGAACTTTTCATTTCTTGTTAACAGGTTTACAAATATATGAATACAAAATTTTTTTTGCTGAAGCTTGCACTTTGATTTATATGTATGGGTAATGAAACATACAATAGGCAGTTGGGAAATTTTAATGCATCATAACTTGTAGAAATTTTTTTTTAATTAAAGGATAAATACATGAATGGATGCATGACAGTGACTAACCACCACATTTAAAAAATAAAAATAAAAATCTAGAATGCTTTGAAATACTGTTTTTCGCTTTGTCAATTTGAGTAACGTGCAATTAAAAGGCTTTCAGATGGGGGGGGGGGAATTAATTTATTTATGATTAACCATAATTCTTTTAGTAATTTGGGATTGGATTACGTGTTTAATATAAAGTTTAGGGAAATTAGCCTCGTTCATGTCCACCTTACTTGGAAGTTCATTCACATGTATTTGGTAGGAGAAAATCTTGCCTTAGTGCTAGAATTTTATTCTACTCTACGATAGTAATTACATGGTTAATCAAATAATTGTAGAAAAATTTGGGGATCATTACCTAGAATTATCAATTAATGCCCCAAAAATTTTAGAATAAATTTGTTTTAAGGAGTAGGATTTTGCAACGCCACACTATTATTTCTCGTGATTATCATGTTTATTTAAATTAATTGCATTAATATTATTTAGATTTTGTCGTGACAAACCACACTTTGCAGTGGAATGTATCTGGTCTCCCTAAATGATTGACGTGCCAACTAAAACTCATTATGATATGCTTATAATTCTATTAAACATATTAATGCATTATGTGAAAATTATTTTATAATAAGCTCAACGTTATAATTTGCTATTAGATATATTGAACTTAGACTTAACCATAATGATATTTGTTTCTTTTCGTTAATCTAGATAAATTCTTAATTGGGTTTATAATTAGACCGTAAATAAGGTAATGAACCAGCCAACGAGTTAACTAAAATAAAATAAAAATCTTTCCATCCACTTATGTTTCACGTCCCTGGAATTTTATTGGCACTAGAATAGTTAATTTATTTTATGTACTTTCCTAAATAAATTCTTTTTCTATTGATTTGAATTGGTAAAGACTTATTTAAGGTGTTATTTAAGTAAATGAGGTAAAAATTGGTGTTAAAATTTATTAGCATAAATTGTGCCTAATTATCTATCATTAGGCCGAAAATGAAGACTTTTTACCTAGTTTGATCAACGCCTTTAAAATAATTTAATATTATAAAAAGGGGGGCCTTATTAATTAAATTAGCACCAATTACACTAGTTAGCTGTCATTAGATTTAAAATGAAGACTTATCACTTACTTTTGCAAATTGTGCTACACTCCCATTGAAGCTACTGTCGGCCCACGTTCACACCCTCAAAGTATCCAAAATCTTGTTTTTACTTGGCAATATTTTCCACAATTTTCTTAGCATATATAGTCACGACAACAATGAATGGTTTTGAGAATATGAATTTCTTACTTTCAACAAATTTATAGTCAAACAAGGTAGGATATTATGTGCAAGTTGTTTCGTCCTTTCAATATTGTAATTTTTTGGCATGATTTATCTCATGAAATGCTAATTGACCTGTGGATCCCAATGAAATGAAATGAAATGAAATGAAATGTGAGATCGCCTTCGGGTTTTCTCAAATGTGTTAGAGCTTTCGATTGATCACCGATTGCTCTTGATAAAATGATGGTATGGAATGTTATAAATTCATGTTTCAAAAGTTATCGTATTGTTTGGACGCACGTATCCTACTGAGTAAATTTACTCATTCCTTCAAATTTTAACATTTCAGGTCAGTATGGTTAACGTGAATGGTGACTGGGCGGTGCACTGGCTGCCAAGTAAAAGTTTTTAAGAAAAAGATCACAAATAAATTTGATAAGAGTATTTAGTATGTTTTCTTCATTTCCATTTTATGTTCTAAACTTTATGACTCTACGTTTATTTAGTATTTAAGAGTTCAAATAAGGTTTTAAATTCTCAATAAAATATTTCTGCATCAAGTACGTTTATGAAATAATATCGGTAACACCCCAAAATTTAAGTCGATAAAATTTGGGGCGTTATTGATGCCCCAAATTTTATCAACTTAAATATTGGGGTGTTAACAATATCATTTCATAAACATACTTGAAGCGGAAATATTTAACTGAAAATTTAAAACCTTTAATTTATTTGAAAATAAAATAACAGTGTCATAGAATTTAGAGCATTAAATGGAATTAAGGGGAAAAAATCCTAACAGAATTATTCTTAAATATTTTCTTGAAAATCTTCTTTACTTGGCAACCCGCGCACTGCTCAGCCACCATCTCCGTCGACCGACCTAACCTAGGGTGTTAAAATTGAAGGAGTGGGTAATTTATACTCACTCGGATACGTGAATCCAAACAATATGATAACTTTTAGAACATGAATTCATAACATTTCATACCATCATTTCGTCAAGAGCAATCGGTGATCAATCGAAAGCTCTGACACATTTGAGAAGACCCAAAAGCGATCTCACATTTATTTTCATTTCATTCCATAGGGACCCGCAGGTCAATTAGCATTTCATGAAATAAATCACACAAGAAAAATTAAAATATTGAAAGGACGGGACAACTTGCACAAAGCATCCTGCCTTGTTTGACAATAAAATTGTTGGAAGTAAGAAATTCATATTCTCAAAACCATTCATTGTTGCCGTGACCATATGCTGAGAAAGTTGTGGAAACTATTGCCAAGCAAAAACAAGATTTTGGATACTTTGAGGGTGTGAACGTGGGTCGGCAGTAGCTTCAATGGGAGTGTAGCACAATTTGCAAAAGTAAGTGAGAAGTCTTCACTACTAGTGTAATTGGTGCTAATTTAATTAATAAGGCTCCCTTTTTATACTATTAAATTATTTTAAAGGCGTTGATCTAACTAGGTAAAAAGTCTTCATTTTCGGCCTAATGATAGATAATTAGGCACAATTTATGCTAATAAATTTTAACATCCAATTTTTACCTCATTTACTTAAATAACACCTTAAATTAGTCTTTACCAATTCAAATCAATAGAAAAAGAATTTAATTAGGAAAGTACATAAAAATAAATTAACTATTCTAGGGCCAATAAAATTCCAGGAACGTGAAACATAAGTGGATGGAAAGATTTTTATTTTATTTTAGTAAATGAAGTGAAAGGTTTTCATTCAAATTTTAGGACACTATATTTAAGGGTAAAAATCGTGCTAATAAACTAATTAGCAATTTCATCAAATCCAGTATGTTAACTTGTTGGCTGGTTCATTACCTTATTTACGGTCTAATTATAAACTCAATTAAAAATTTATCTAGATTAACGAAAAAGATACAAATATCATTATGGTTAAGTCTAAGTTCAATATATCTAATAGCAAATTATAACATTGAGCTTATTGTAAAATAAATTTCATTTAATGCATTAATATGTTTAATTGAATTATAAGCATATCAAAATGAGTTTTAGTTGGCACGTCGATCATTTAGGGCGACTAGATACATTCCACTGCAACGTATGGTTAGTCACGACAAGATCTAAATAATATTAATGCAATTAATTTAAATAGACATTATAATCACGAAAAATAATAGTGTGGCGTTACAAAATCCTACTCCTGAAAACAAATTTATTCTAAAATTTCCGAGGCGTTACAGTCTCACGCCCTTACAATAATTTCTTCCTCGAAATTACCTCAACCATTTTAAAAGTTTTAAATACTTGATTGACATACTCTTGATAGCATGAAGTAAG